AAAAGAGTAATGAGAAAATGGATGATGAACAGGGGCTAAATAAGTAGTTTGGTACTTTATGGTTGTCACAAACTGTTTGCGTAGCTTCCAAGAGAGTGATCATCTACGCTGCTGAAACTAATTGTGATTTCTGATGGATTGAGTTTTCATTAGGTATATTTAATCATTGACATTGACATATTAGGCTTCTCTAATATCCCTTTTCAACAATCTTTAGGTTCTTAATATTTGTTTCTTTGTCGCCTTTTGCAGGATATTTTGAAGCGTATGGTTTTGTTCTGCAAAGCTGCTGTTGAGGTATGATTAAATTAAGGGCCTGTTTGTTTCAGATTAAAATCAGATTTTAATTTAAGTCAAAGTCAAATAATCAATATTAGCTACATTTTTCATGGTCCCACAGCTTTTCAGCCACACATTTCAAAAACTTATATCACAATCTACTAAAAATCTAATTTTAATCCCCACCAAACACCCACTAAGCTGTGGAAAATCAGAGTCTATGAAATAGCTTCCTTTGTAGTGGTCAACTGTCTTGGAAAGGGAAAAAGCAAAGAAAAAATAATCTTCTATTGCAACTGTAGTCTTATTTATTTTTTATTTTTGGCCCCCCCTCCTGTTTTTTTTGGGGATGGGGATTGGTTATGCTTGAGCTCTTTTGCAAGTATTCTTGAATGGCCTGGTTCGCTTGTGTCCTAATCTCCATCTGCAAGGATGTCATATGAATAGGATAAAAATGGTGATTACAGGTTCCTTGGCATGTTCCATGTGGTGGGGTCTGCTATGGAGATGGAAATTTAGTTTTCATTGCAAATGATTGGCACACTGCTTTACTGCCAGTGTACCTTAAGGCATATTACCGTGACAATGGATTGATGAAATATACGAGATCCATTCTTGTGATTCATAATATTGCGCACCAGGTTGGTTCGTATAGCCCTATTCATGGAATTTTAGACGATCTAATGTATGTTGTAATTTGAACACTCCATGAACAGAAGTGTCAGCACTTGATGCAGGTGTGTAGGTAGAGATTGAATCATCACTAGGAAAATGATACGTGAACGTACTGCCGTGTTTAGAACAATAGGTGTGCATTATACTTCTCTCCGCCTAATTATTTGTGCTCTCACCTTTGGCATAAGGTCACTGCAGTTTTTGCATAAAAATTTTCAACAGCCTGCCAAAATACTAATGATCTGATATCAGCATGTAGAATATTGCCTACCCTCTTTCTTGAATTCTTCTTTAAATACTTCGAAGGTGCTAGAAGTAATATGCTGTGGACATGCTTCAAGCGCCTCATTTTTAATCATGTCTCTCTGATACTCTAAGCTATCTCATTAAGTAAAGGAAGGAGAGGAGAGGAGAGGGCATAAATATATTATAGACTGAGAGTTGAGATTTTGGACAGTTGTAAAAGCCACTTTTCAACTCAACCTTTTGAAAGCCAGTGAATTTGGCCAACGCTAAATCCAATAGGTAGATTGATAATAGATAAGCTTAGTTGAATAAATTGGTAGGTGAGATTGTTTACTCACCTTTTCGGCTTTTCTGATGAAAATTGAAAAAAATAAAAATAAATCATTTATTTCTTTTGCTTATTTGTTATGCTCTCAGTTCATTGATTTCCATACTGAATAAACTGAATTTTGAAAGGTTTCTATTTTAATAAGGTTAATTTTGAAATGGAAATTGATAATCCTGCAATCTCACTTCTGGTTCTTTTTGCTGTTCATTTATCACCTATAATCAGGGCCGTGGTCCTGTGGATGATTTTTCCTACGTGGATCTTCCGCCACACTACTTGGACCTTTTTAGGTTGTATGATCCAGTTGGAGGAGAGCACTTCAACATCTTTGCAGCAGGCCTGAAGACGGCAGATCGTGTACTCACAGTTAGTCGTGGATATTCTTGGGAGCTAAAAACCTCAGAAGGTGGCTGGGGTCTACATGGGATTATAAATGAGAATGAGTGGAAATTTCATGGAATCGTAAATGGAATAGATACAAACGATTGGAACCCTGAATTAGATATTTACCTACAATCTGATGGGTATGTTAACTACTCCCTTGATACCCTACAGAAGGGCAAACCCCAGTGTAAGGAAGCATTGCAGAAGGAGCTTGGTTTGCCTGTCCGAGCTGACGTCCCATTAATTGGTTTCATCGGGAGACTCGATCACCAAAAAGGTGTTGATCTGATAGCCGAAGCTGTTCCTTGGATGATGAGCCAGGATGTACAGTTGGTCATGTTGGGCACTGGTAGGCCCGATCTCGAACAGATGCTTAGGCAGTTTGAGGGCCAGTACAATGACAGAGTTAGGGGGTGGGTCGGTTTTTCCGTGAAGACAGCTCACCGGATAACTGCTGGTGTTGACATACTTCTGATGCCATCAAGATTTGAACCTTGTGGACTGAACCAGCTGTATGCAATGTGTTATGGGACAATTCCAGTCGTTCATGCAGTTGGTGGACTAAGAGATACAGTGCAGCCTTTCAACCCTTTTGAAGAAACGGGGCTTGGATGGACTTTTGCAAGGGCTGAGACGAACGAACTGATCAATGCATTAGGGAACTGCTTATTGACTTATCGACAGTACAAAAAGAGTTGGGAGGGTCTCCAGAGACGAGGAATGACACAAGATCTAAGTTGGGATAATGCTGCTCAAAATTACGAGGAAGAACTTATTGCTGCCAAGTACCAGTGGTAATGTTGGCACTTATTTTCCGCAATCTTGACAAGGAATGTAGTCTTGGCAGAATGTCATCCTTTTCCCCATCTTTGCATTGTGGCTCGGTGTCTTTGTACACGGGCATAAGTTAAAACTGACATGTAAGATCATCCTTGCTTTGGCAACAAAAAATTGGCCATAGAAGATCAAAATTCAGAGATTCTAGGTTAATACTCATAGCTTCAATTCTGTTGTATTTGACGGAAGTGACGTCCAAGTCCGAATTTCTTTCAGCTTTGTATTGGAATTTAATAGCAGGTTTACTCGTGTATATGCTACACTGCTGTTCATAATAGATTTTCACGTTTGCATATGCAATTCGTGCAGCAATGTCCAAGGTTTCTGTATAAATAATGACCTCTTTAATGTCCAGTTCTTCAATTGCAATTCTTGGTATGGAAGATGAATGGCGTAATATTGATAGTGTGGTTGGTAGAGAGAATTTGATAGTATTAGACAAACAGGACGATAGTTTTATTAATTTCATTAAATAGCACAAGAAAAATAATACAGAGACGCACAATTGGAAGAGAGGCACCAACGGCCCACCATCTATAAAAAAGAATAATAGTCGGACAATGTCGACTCGCAAACCCTTTATACTCACTGCTCACTGCATCACTTTCATGTAGAAGAGACTCTTATATCCTGGTCAAACTGTGAACGCGAACCACTTGAAAAAAGTTGAGCAAAACCCTTGGAAAGGCAGCCTTCAACTGCACACGATGGCTTTGTACAACCGTATGGACTGTTATGCTTAACAATTTCTACACAATCGTCTATTGCATTACCATGTGGATTCTCTCCCCAGGTAACAGTTTTTCCAGGAGAATAGAAGTGCCTTCGCTTAGCATTTGTCATGGTATTAGGGCTGACATACCCGTCTGAAAAGTCCGTTGCTTTCTGCAAGTTATTGCTAGACTTTCTCTTGAAACCAGGAAAAGTTTTCAACCCTGCATGATAACATATTGTTACAAAGGCGTGTTATTTGTTGGAATGGGTCAACAGTCGTGTGCATTCCCTCTTAACTATATCCAAACGTGGGAATGGTAGGAACTTAAATAGGATAACCATTGTCAAACGCTAATTCACATGAAATAAAAACACCGTATAGTTAAAACTTATTAGATACTACCGTATAAATTTTTAAAGCCTGCACCATCAGATTGCTGGGCTTCTGAGTCACGACAAGTGCAGAATAAATTAGGAGGGTCACTGGATCCCCTGATCCTGCACCAAATGAGATATGTATCTGTCATAATGATCAATGATGCAAAGAGAGGGGTAAGACAAATGGGAAAAATAAATCAACTGACTATCTAAATCAAACCAACAAACCACACTGGTTCCCATAGATTCGTACTTAATGGTTAGGTCCGGAATCTACAATTGGGTTCATAAAATGAAAATTACATGCAATAATTGTCTTCAGAAATGTAATAAAACCCACAAGTTAGTCATCATAACGGGTGATGATATTGTATCATTTGTAAAGTCTTAACAGTAATTGGCTTCAATTTTATCCTTGGCCAAGTAAAAAGTAAAGCAAGTGAAATGCATTTGGTGGTACAACCCTTTCTAAAGAGACTATCATGAGATGTTTTGTATATTACATTAATAATATCCTCATGCCAGAATTTTACTACTATGGTTGATCTTTAGTAATACTTTTAAGCAAAAATTAAAAAACCTACACAGCTTTGTTAGAAATAAGAAAGCAAATATTAAACTTTCTGTGAGACGTGGCTTTACCTGTACATGTGCTCAACGAAGTCATCAATTAAGACAGGCCAAGCTCCTGAAAAAAGTTTAAATAACTGATCAAATGACAAATGAAACACTGCAGACTACGGCTAAATTAGATAATAATTTGTCAGGAAATCATTCCATTCAAATACTTGTGAGATACACTTGATTTTTGTTAGGAATATGAATTGAATTCAGTCATCGAAAATCGCATACTATGACAGGAAACTCTTGGGACTTTCTAGGCACAGTCCAACTTCCTACCATCATTTCTACTACCACCATCTGCCACCAACAAAACATACTCCGAGAACTTCAAATTCAAATTTAAGGCAGCAACAACCAATCTTAAGAATAAGCAAACAGGAGATCAAGGTCTAATTCAAGTGGCAAGAACGAAACCACCAGATTATTGACGTGGGTTCGAGTCTCTTTTCTCACCAAGCAGGAGTAGATGTCAAAATAATATAAATTGCTGGCAGTAAACAGTAAAGCTGGTAAAAACACCAGGGACAGGGGAAAAGCACATAATAAACCTCCATCTGCACGCAGAAAAATCTATGTCATGCATATGGGATTGAGTGTTGAACATAAAAATATTAGTTTTCTGCATACTAAAAGTCTTTACTAACAACGAAATAAGTACGCACGTTATGACTAGTGGTCATAGCTGACCATTTGATTGTTCCATGATCAAGCATAAAATTAATAGTTTTTTGCACAAGGCTATAGTAACAATGAAATAAGTAGGCACATTATCAGTAGTGTCATAAATTGGTATTTTTTAAAATGTTCCAGGATCAGGCTCTACAAAGCCTCCAGATAGGCTTCCACCAAATCATATTATCCATTTCTTATATATGAAATTTTCATACATGGAAATTATTCAGAAAATTCATAATAACCGGCAACATTACCTTCAGGATCATACCCTTCAAGATTTTCATGCACACAGCGACTGAATGCTAAAAGTTGTCGCCATGTATCTTCGGAAATGTTATGTCGCTGGTTACTCTGGGAACATTTGAGAGAAATGAGTCGTAGCATATGTAGGAAAAATGCAAAAAACAAATGGAGTAACTAACATTAGATTCTTATTGTGCAACAATAGTTTGAAACATACCATACTATAGCGATCAAATTCAAAAAACATAGCAAAGAGGCCAAACTTAATTCACATTTCATTGCTAATAGTTTTGAACATAAACCAAAAAGAAAAACTCTCTACATGGTCACTGTATACAAACAGATATGATAATATAATTTTTGACATCTTCAATACAGACTAGTTCTATTTATATTTAATAGCTTATTTTTCTCTGTTATCCTCTTTTCATCTGACATTTGACACTTGTAAAACCTTGCTTCATCCCTTCATCTTTGACAACGCATAAAACATATAGTACAAAAGCAGCAGCTAGACTGGTCAATCACAGCAATAAATTACCTTTTACCTATTTGTGTTCCTGATAAATAACAGAAGAATTTAACCAGGAACCAAAACCTATATCATAAACTATATAAGGCAGTACATGAAATTTGTACAAAAAGAAAGTGAAGGGTGAAAAAAATTCTACAACTGAAGACCATGCAATCTAAACTTCCATGTAGAGATGAGAAGGCCCCAATTCCTTCGCAGACCTAAGGTTTGAAAAGGCGGAAACAAGGCGCTCCTCTCAAAGTGAGGTGCACCTTTAGTGCCTCAAGGCGCAAATTCAGTGCTATTCAATTGACAGGCAGGTGCCTCATTGAATGAGGCTTGCTGCGACATTTGAAATTTTCCACTTTTTTATTTTCTTTTTCCAAGTCTAAACGTGACTTAGAGATGAAAGAGCCCTTTTAATTGGACCCATCTTGTTCTAAAATAAAAAAGCAAAAAATTGAGCCTATCAGTTGTTTGACTAAACAATAAAAATACTTAGTTTAACCCCACTACCCTACCTCATGCCTCACCACTCTCCCAAGACAGAAAAAAGCTTCTTCACAAGATTGCAAGGCACCAGCAGTTCTGAAACTCCGGAACGTAATTTTTTCCTGCATTTCGTCTCCTCTTTTTCTTTCTCTCTCTCTCTGATTTAAAATTTTTTTATTTCTCAAATTTATAATTTTTTGGCTTTGGTTTGTTGTGAGGCTTGCGCCTCAATTCGCCTCGAGGCTTATGCCTACCCTCACAAAGTAAAAACCCGTTTCTGTCTTTTTAAACAAAGGTCCTAATTAAGTCATGTCAAGAGACAACTAATTAACTTAATCATACAAGTGAAATCCTACAACTGAAGTCCAGGAAATCTGAAGTTCAATGTAATGATGAGAAGGCCCCAATTCAAGTAATTTCGCAATCCTAATTAAGACGTGCCAAGAGACTCCTAGTTAAATTAATCATCATCTTTATAATTGCTTTTTCTTTCTTTAGAAAGGTAGTAGTCATCTCCGTAGGAGAAAAGCAAAACAAAAATGTCAATGACTGGTCCCTGACAACAATCAATAACAATAACAACATTAAAATTTACCTCAATAAAGTTGCACCATTGATCAAGCAATCGAAACCTTCCAGCTAAAACTAATCTCCAGGCCATAACAGCCCTGCTTACAGCTGAAATATGCTTAGCACGGGTGGTTAGAATCAGATTTATGCTCCGATGTGCTGTATAATAGTGACGAAAGTGTGCTAAAATGCAAGAGAGGAATAAAATCGACATACTGATTCTTTTCTGACCATTTTCGCGGCATACGAAGAAGACAAAATCATAGAATCGCAAGAACTCAGAAAAATCTGCCTATGAAAATTAAGAAGCATGTAAAGCATTGGTAACAATTTAAAAGCAATCTTACATCCAAAATTGGCATAAAAAACTCAACAGCGTCATCTTACCATCAAGTCTAATGTTGACATCAGCTTATAAGCTTCCTCAAGAATTGAAACCCTGTGATAGAACATAATTTTCAGCTTTCATTAACCTGAAACTAACATTTTTCCCATCACTATCCAAAAATAGAAAGTATCTTATCAATTAATAGACTGAAGTTTTTCATCGAAATAAAACCAAATAACATATAAAATCTGTGCCTTCTGTGTGTTTGGGTTTCCTTATAACTAATCATTTGCAATCCAACTTTAATTTTAGCCACACATTCACAACAACTATGCACTTATTATCCAAACATTTCGTGGGACATATTGCTCCTCTCATTATAATCTCCTTATAAGTTACTTATAAAAAAACCAAAAGACATGCATAATCTTCATGAAGTGTCAACAAATTTTATGATGACATTCTCACGTTCAAGTTTCTGTTTTCCTTCTGAAAAATTCCATCAAATTTCAGCATAAATTTTCCTTTCTTGCAATTCACCAAACTGATCTGATAAAAACAAGCTCCAGCATAGAACAATATGATATGTATATAACAATCTCAACCTAAAAAAAAAAATCTAACAGATAGAAGAGTCACGTGAACAACCACAAAAAGACATTACAAACTTCATTTGCAACTAAATGTTTAGAATCTAAGCAGCATCCAAGCAAATAGTTTGAATCATTATTGTTACAAATTAGATACCTTGTATTCACACTAGACTCCACCACCGTCAATAGCTGTGCCAGTGCCTCTCTTGAAAATCTCAATTTCTGTGACTCGTCGTCTGGCCTGTAGCTCTCTCCCACACTAGGATGCACCGCGGACATAATGTCTGAAATAGAAATTCTCGAAAACTTACAACAAATCACAACACCCATTTACAGGGAAAAAAAAAATTAAAACAGGTTGATTGCGTAGAACTTATTTAAAAACATATTCTTGAACTAGTAAAGAATCCTTTCTCTGAAAATAGAAAATCATTAAGATGTCTTGGATAATTCTTGGACAGCAATTTATTAACCAATAAATCCACACTTTTGTAATAGCACGACTATATTAACTAATTAAGCAACATATCACACTTCAAATTTCAGAAAACCCAACTTTATAGATAAAAATTTCGAGACAAAGAGAATCTTAATGCAATAACTATAGAATTCCTCCAGTCTAGATAATTTAATTTAGTTTCTCTAATTTAAAGCCATCCATATGAAAAACATTAAAATTGTTCCCTTTACTTCCAAAAAATTCTAAAAACGTGTAGCAATAATTCCATAGAATACAATACGCATACATCCAACAAAAAATCGATTACTTAAATCTAAATAAACAACAGAGAAATTGATAGAATACCGCAATACTGGCGATATATTTTGAATATGTTAAACGAAGTGCCAAACGAGGAGTCCATGGAGATTGGGGTTTTTAGGGTTGTGTATATACAAAACCCTAGATTAAATTTCACCGACTACGGGTTATTAAAATATGGCCCTGTAACTTCTTTCTCTTTCCCTATGAGTTGATGATGAAATGGAAGGTGTGTAAAGTATGCATGTTATGTACATGTTGATGTGACTGGGCGTGTACGCAAACCCAAATATGTCGGTCGGACCGGTGTGTGGTTATTAATGAACCGGAATTTCTAATTTACTGTTGCAGGCATACGACAATTATGATTGAATAATTAGTGTAAGAGTAACGTGTTAAAATATTGATTTAGCTAACATAAATATGATATATTAAGAGCTTATTTGAGATAGATTTTTGAGGGAAGAATTGATTTTAAATAGTGATATGATGGGAAATGTGTGGTTGAAAAAAAAAGAAAAAATTATTGATGTGATGGAAAATATTATTTTATTGAAGAATGTGTGGTTGAAAATGAGAATTGATTTACTGTAGAATTTGAGAATAAAAAACAAACACAATAGTTGACAAATGACAAGACAAGAAATCGAGATTTAAAATCTCATATTTGAATTCAACTACCAAAAGGCTGTAACAAAGTTTTGTTTGTTTTTTTTCCCAAAGAACATTTGTCAAGAATATGATGCGAGCAAAAACATTAGAAAACTTTAGGGGCTATTCTCTTTGTGTTTCAGTTTTGTGTAGTGTCTGTTTTGAAATTTCTGAAAACGCGTTCTTTTTGTCATTCTGAAANTTGAGATTATTGAAAACGTGTTCTTTTTACCATTTTTAAAAATTGTTTTGAAAATCCAAAAATGCATTCTCACTCGTCTCTCTCTCTCTCTCTCTCTCTCTCTTCTTCCATCCTCTCTGTAACCTGTCGGAACCCCATCCTCCGGCCACCGTCTTCATCGCGGACCACCATCAGTCGATTGCCTACCTCTGGGCGACTCAGAAATAGCCCTCAATTTAGTCCAAACAACAATTAATCAAAATGAGGGTTGCAATCCCGTTTCGTGCAGTTCGAAGAAATCTGTGATTGCGATGACATCCGTTCAACCTATGGTCGCGGACCACATGGGTCACCTTCCTCTCCCTCGGCGCACCTAATCCAACCATGAGTCAAGCCCAATTTCAATCACAGCTCGTTGATTTTATGTGTGAACTTAGAGTTGAAAACTGAAAAATTGTGGTGGTGGTGGCTGTAGTTGGTCATGATGGTGGTGGTGGCACCGTGTAGTGGCGATTTTTGTGGTGGTGGCTGTGGTGGTTCTGGCGACGGTGGTGTTGGTTGGTGTGATGTTGTGGCTGTGGTGGTGGTTCCGACGATGGTGGTTGGAGTGATGTTGGGGGGCGACGACGATTGGTGGTGTTTTGCAAGTGACAATGATAGTGGTTGGGGGTGATAGTAACTGAAAACAACGAAAATGTGTTTTGACAATTTTGGCCAAGTTATAACTGAAAAGATCCAAAACGAAAAATTTGTCGTTTTGAGTTTTCTTTATAAATTTTAAACTTGTTTTGGAAAATCAAAAACAGCAAATAGGAAAGAGAATGCATTTTCACTGTTTTGAATAATCGAAAACAAAAAACGACTAGAAAACGATAAAGAGAACAAGCCTTAAAACTTTTTTGAGCTTAGTTTTGTGTGATTTGAACTTTATTAGCTGTAGATATTTTCAGCGCATTTTACTTGTGATGTTACTATATTTGATAAGATTTTTTTTCGATCACTCTAGTTGTGGCACAATTAATGGAGACCTCATCGATCCGACTCGAAGCATGTGGGCATCTATCGACACATTTATTAGGTCATGGGAGGCAGTGCTCTAGATGGCTTTATTCCTATCAGAAATCTAGAAACCTTAGGACACCTGTGACCTGTCCTATGTGTCCATAACCATTTTACTGCGACATAACCATAGCCCAAGCTCTATAAATGGAGGTTTTCCCAAGGTAAAAAAAGGTAACAAACTTTTTTTTATATGTAGGGTCTTTTTGGTTGTAAGAGTGGGATTTGGTGGAAAGAAAATAAATTTTAGGGAATTGAATTGTTTAGAACTTGTTTTATTGAGAATTGTCAATTAATTGTATTTGATTGGTATAATTTTTCTCCTGAAAAATATTGAAATTATGTTTTTTTTATATTCATTTGACTTTATTTTCCATGAAAATTGTTCATTAAAGGAATAAAATTTGTTTTAATTGGGGATATATTTTGTTTCCATTACTAAACAAGAGTTGCCTAGAAAAGTTTTTCTAACCAAACCCATGGAAAAAGTTTTTCCTCAAAAACCAATAAAATATGGAAAACCAATTTCATGAAAAATTTAATCAATGACTACCCATTTACTCTCATGTTGAACGGAATCAAGTCGAGGAGCTGGAAATGAAAATTTGAATCGAAAAATCAGAACCCCATGATGCACCGTACGACGAAGCAACGTGCAATCTCTGGACAAGGCCGAGACGAGGAATCCCACTTAATAAAATTATTGCATTTCATCATCTGATTAATTAAATTACATACGCATACTTTAACCTACCATTTTTTAGAAAAAAAATAGTGATTTTTTTAGAACATGTGGTAAAAATGTAGGAAAATATTTTAGATTTACATGTAAAATTATTTTATTTCGAGCCCTTGTTTGGTGGGGGATTAAAATCAAGTTTTGAGTACATTTTGATAAAAATTAATGAAACGTGTGATTGAAAATTTGTGAATTTTATAAAACATGTGGTTAAAATTAATTGTTGACTTTGATTTAAATAAAATTTTATTCCATTAAACATGAGCTAAAAATGAGTTTGAAAAAAAATCATATCTAAAAGATAAAGTATACTCTATTTCAAAGAAGAAAAAATGGATGGACCGTGGACGAACAGTAGAAGCATTCTGAGATGACGAATTAATGCTGTCACAATCCTGCTGCTCGGTCACCATCCATTGAGTGTAGTTTCGCCGTCAGAGAGAGGATGGAGATGGAGATGGAGATGGAGATGGAGAGGGGGAAGGGGAAGGAGATAGAAGATATTTTAGGGTTAGGTGAGAGTTTTGCTATGTGGAGGTTGCGCTGTGGATTTTTGTAAGAGTAATTATATTATCACTACAAAAATTATTTATTACACCACATTATAAGAGCTTGTTTGGTAGGGATTTTTGGGGGGAAGAATTGATTTTGAATAGCGATATGATGGGAAATGTGTGGTTGAAAAAGAAAAAAAATTATTGATGTGATGGAAAATATTATTTTATTGAAGAATGTGTGGTTGAAAATGAGAATTGATTTACTGTAGAAAAATCTCAAATTGAGATTATTGAAAACGTGTTCTTTTTACCATTTTTAAAAATTGTTTTGAAAATCCAAAAATGCATTCTCACTCGTCTCTCTCCCTCTCTCTTCTTCCATCCTCTCTGTAACCTGTCGGAACCCCATCCTCCGGCCACCGTCTTCATCGCGGACCACCATCAGTCGATTGCCTACCTCCGGGCGACTCAGAAATAGCCCTCAATTTAGTCCAAACAACAATTAATCAAAATGAGGGTAGCAATCCCGTTTCGTGCAGTTTGAAGAAATCTGTGATTGCGATGACATCCGTTCAACCCATGGTCGCGGACCACATGGGTCACCTTCCTCTCCCTCGGCGCACCTAATCCAACCATGAGTCAAGCCCAATTTCAATCACAGCTCGCTGATTTTATGTGTGAACTTAGAGTTGAAAACTGAAAAATTGTGGTGGTGGTGGCTGTAGTTGGTGATGATGGTGGTGGTGGCACCGTGTAGTGGCGGTTTTTGTGGTGGTGGCTATGGTGGTTCTGGCGACGGTGGTGTTGGTTGGTGTGATGTTGTGGCTGTGGTGGTGGTTCCGACGATGGTGGTTGGAGTGATGTTGGGGGGCGACGACGATTGGTGGTGTTTTGCAGGCGACAATGATAGTGGTTGGGGGTGATAGTAACTGAAAACAACGAAAATGTGTTTTGACAATTTTGGCCAAGTTATAACTGAAAAGATCCAAAACAAAAAATTTGTCGTTTTGAGTTTTCTTTATAAATTTTAAACTTGTTTTGGAAAATCAAAAACAGCAAATAGGAAAGAGAATGCATTTTCACTGTTTTGAATAATCGAAAACAAAAAACGACTAGAAAACGGTAAAGAGAACAAGCTTTAAAACTTTTTTGAGCTTAGTTTTGTGTGATTTGAACTTTATTAGCTGTAGATATTTTCAGCGCATTTTACTTGTGATGTTACTATATTTGATAAGATTTTTTTTCGATCACTCTAGTTGTGGCACAATTAATGGAGACCTCATCGATCCGACTCGAAGCATGTGGGCATCTATCGACACATTTATTAGGTCATGGGAGGCAGTGCTCTAGATGGCTTTATTCCTATCAGAAATCTAGAAACCTTAGGACACCTGTGACCTGTCCTATGTGTCCATAACCATTTTACTGCGACATAACCATAGCCCAAGCTCTATAAATGGAGGTTTTCCCAAGGTAAAAAAAGGTAACTAACTTTTTTTTATATGTAGGGTCTTTTTGGTTGTAAGAGTGGGATTTGGTGGAAAGAAAATAAATTTTAGGGAATTGAATTGTTTAGAACTTGTTTTATTGAGAATTGTCAATTAATTGTATTTGATTGGTATAATTTTTCTCCTTAAAAATATTAAAATTATATTTTTTTTATATTCATTTGACTTTGTTTTCCATGAAAATTGTTCATTAAAGGAATAAAATTTGTTATAATTGGGAATATATTTTGTTTCCATTACTAAACAAGAGTTGCCTAGAAAAGTTTTTCTAATCAAACCCATGGAAAAAGTTTTTCCTCAAAAACCAATAAAATGTGGAAAACCAATTCCATGAAAAATTTAATCAATGACTACCCATTTACTCTCATGTTGAATGGAATCGAGTCAAGGAGCTGGAAATGAAAATTTGAATCGAAAAATCAGAACCCCATGATGCACCGTACGACGAAGCAACGTGCAATCTCTGGA